CCTACATCCTCTGTCCTGGAGCATTCACACTCACGAAGCCATGTGTCACAGGCAGGATAGGGATATTCAAGTTCCTGTGTGCCATGTGAGTAGGTTCCTGGACATTTCTCATCTGCCTGCTATTCCTTGGTCTCCTGTTCACCTCTGGCCACTTCCTTTCCTGTCTACTTGTCTCCTGATCTTCCAGGCAATCCTGTCTGCTTTATCCACTTGGTGTCCATCTCCAAGTCCCAGTTAACCTGGTGTCTCTACTTCCATATTCTACCTGGTGCCCCTTTTTCCTTGTCTACCATTTGTTTCTCCCCAACCCCTGGTGTTCTGTGACCCTGCACTTGTTTATCAGATGTTCCTGCCTTTCCCTTTATTTAAAGAATATTTTTTAGTTGTCAATGTACCTTTATTTTACTTATATGTGGTGCTGAGAATCGAACCCAGTGCCTCACACATGCTAGACAAGTGCTCTGCCCCTGAGCTACAACCCCAGCCCTCCCTGCCCATCTTTTATGACTGGTGTACCTCCTGCCCCTGGTCTACTGGGAGACCCTCCTTCCCTCCTGTACCTGGTTAGAGATAAGTCCTTCTTCCTGCTCCAACTGTTTTGTTAGGTCCACGATATTTATATATGGTTCAGACGAAAGTAATTCTTCCAAGAAGTGGGGGTTAATCATGGTTTCCATCTAGGAGGAGAAAGAAGAGATTGTGAGTAACCTTAGAGAGAAAATGGCCCCAAGTCGGGATGACTTCTAGGGAACAGGAGGCAAAGATGACCCCATCTTGGTCCATACCACAGGGTTAATAAATCCCATCCACTAGCTACACACATGTATACAAGTGTGTGTGTGCACACACACACATGAACACAATACTGAGAATCTAAGCTATGAAGCTCAATTCTATGGGTCCTAAAACCTTGTAGAGAGAAAGATTGTAGGCCCAGCCCACCTTGTTGACAAAGCCCTCATCAATGTAGCTCAGGAGACTTGGATCTGGATATAAATCATCCTCCACTGGCTGTTGCTCCAGTCCTTCGTCTCCCAAGTTTGCAGCAATCTCTTCTATAGACAAGTGGAAAGGCTCCCACGTGGCAAAGTTGGCAGGCCCAACTAGCTCATCCAGGATGTCCATGAGCTCTTGGATGGCTTCAGGTGGGATCTCCTCGGGCGCCTTGGTCTCACACATCTTAGTCTCTGGTGCCTTGCGTTTGGCTGGTACTGAGTGGGCACACTGTGCCTTAGGGGTGGTCTTTCTGGAGTTGCACACTAGGACAAGGAGTACCAGAACAGTGCATGGATGGGGGATCCACCTTTATGCCAAACACCTGGTAGTAGGCAGGCTTCAGGGGACTTAACCTGGTCTACTATGCACTGGGACAACCATAGGAGGACCCAAGGGAGATAACAGTGCACCAGGTGCAACATCTAGGAGAGTCACGTGGGAGGAAATTTGGAGCCACTGATATACCAGGCACTCTGCCCAGCCAGACTCAAGTCATGGGCACATGGTATGTTGGTTCTTTGGAAAGGCAGAGAAAAAGAGGAGCTATGTATTTGGCACAGTCAATACGCAGTTCAACAAAATGGGTAGCATGCATCTCAGGTGCTAGGGGCTGTTCTTGCAATACTGAATGCCCCATGCTGAAGGTAAAGTTCTTATTTGGGACAAGAACTTGCCTTGGCCCTTGGCATACTTTGGACATTATCATGGGTTTCTGTGGAAAAGCAGGGGCCCTACCTGGTTGTTGCACAGCCTTAGGGACTGGGGGCCTTGGAAAATCCCTCCTTAGAGATACAGAAGGAGGTTGGCACTGGAAGACCCCTGACAGCTGCATCCTTGGATCCTCCATTTCCTCTGCAGCTTCAAACTCCATGTACCTAGGTGGGGTTTGGGTAAGGAAGGCACAGGCTGAGCTAAGGAGCAGGTCAGCCATACCAGGCAGATATGAGACAAGCTGAGAGACCTATATACCAGGCAGGTACTAGCCCCATACCAGGGGGAGCTGAGGGCAGGGATGTGGAGCTATGTTCCGGAGTGGGCTGGACCAGTCCCAGGAGGGAGCTGCTACACAGGAAGAACTACAGTTCTGGGGAAACACTGAATCAGCCAGCACCTGAAGGGAGTCAGATCTGAGGGACCCAGGTAGGGCCCTTGCTGACCCTTGTTTCAGATCTCTCCTGTTTCTGCCAGGAACCACAGAGATCAGGTAAGTGCCAGAAGCTGTAGGGATGTGATTTATATCAAGGAACACCAGGTGTCCTGATCCAATTCACAGACACTGAAGCTGGGACCATGAGCCCTGGAAGGATCACTTGGGAGACAAAGGGACAGGAGAGGTCATATGAAAATGGAAGCTAAATGAGAACATTGGTGGCTTCCAATGAGGGTGGGTACTTTTTCTTCTCTTCACTTGTTAGAATGGCAGGGATTATATAGAGAAAAGGTGATAAAGACTGGAGATGTGTCCTTGGGGTATCTGAGATGCTGTATGCCCCTGACCATGCACTCTCCACTGCCACCCTCTTCTGGAACATCAGGTTGAAGTAGTGGCCATTTTCATGACCGCATGTAGTCCCTACTCTGTAAATACAGAGGTGCCAGTTCCCAGACAGGTGGCCTATGTAAGGCTAGTGGGACTTTTCCCCTCTGCAGAACCAACAAAGCTCCTCCCCATCTTGACCCTGCACCTCAAGACAGGGTTGGGATCAGGAGTATGGAGGCTGCAGTTTCTGGGATTGTTGCAGAGGGAATGCCCAGGCCTAGAGGGAGCCACTCTCTGGAGAGCCAGATGCCTTGAAACCAATATTTAGGTAGGTGACAGGCCCTACCAGACCCTGCTGTGCAAACCATGATCCTCCAGCACTCCAGTCCGGGCCCTAAAATCTGACTCACTTTTCTGCAGTCTCATAGAAGGCCATCCGGTCAAAGTTGCTAGTGCTCTGCCATTCCTGCAAACCCTTCCACAGGGCCTCCTCCATGGTTATGGTGGGCTCCAGTTCAGAGAGAGACCGAAGCACTGGGCTGGAATTCATTGGGATCAGTCAGGGTCCCAAGGTCACCCTCTGCTCTCATCTTCCCAACGTTCCCTCCTACCTGTGTTACATCTGCCCCATCATGTTCATCTCAAAGCATTAGCATTTAGACTCCAGGACACTCTTCCTTATGGCAAACATTAACACCAAGGTCTGCATTGGCCTTGGGATTTTACTTGGGTTCTTCAGTGGTGTGGTATACTAGGTGCTGAATGTATTTTTATCCTCCAAAATCCACCTCTTGAAGTCATAACCCCCAATGTGTTGGTATTTGGAGACAGGCTTTAGTGTTTAGGAGGGTTTGATGAGATCCAGAGAGAGGGGCTTCGTGGGGGCATTAGTGGTCTTCCTGGAGAAGGCAGAGCCCTCATGGGACTCTGGGTCAGGCACTTTTTATCTGGGACTCCAGAACTCTGAGAAATGAATGTCTAGGGTTTCATCTACCCACTCTATGGTGTTCAGTATGGCAGCCCAAGCTAACCAAGACCATGCAAAGAACAGCCTGGGAGCAGGGTTACGTACTGGGGCAAAGATGAACATCCCCATCCGGAATCCAAAGTGAGCTCCCCCATGAGTGCCACATCATCATAGGATCTTTATTGGGGTTTCAGGACAATGTGTGTGAGTGTCTGCAGTGTTCACCCTTGGGGCCAGTACCACTAAACCCACTTCTGCTGGTGATGTCCTTTGTGCTGGGAACAATCAGGTCTATGGAGGAAGGTGAAATGACTAGGGAAGGAACCATCTTATGGAGTGAGACAAATCCTGGCTCATGTTACCCCAAGAAGCTCCTCTGACTTTGGGAACTCTGTGTGATGGAAACAAAGATTGCTGAACTCACAGGGCTGTGGTGGGCACCTGAGATAAGGCACATTTTCTCCCCTGGTGTGAGGTGAATATGGCTGGGAATATAGCTTGTCCCCTACCCTCAAGACCTCCCTTCCAGTTCTCTACATCCCAGCCTCCTTCGTGCATCCCATGCTTTCCCTAATCTTAGAGTCCCAGAGGGTGTTCTGGGTCCATGGGAAGAACACTCACACAAAGAAGCAAGAAAGCGCTTCCACATCTGGAGTCTGAGGAAGGTGCCTGCGGACCAGGGTCTTGAAACGCTGCCAGAGTCTGAAATCTTCATAGGTGCTCTGAGGTCCACTGGAGTCATCTGGTGGCACTGTAGCCTGGAAGGTGGGCAGTGCGACCTCCCCATACTCTGTACCTGGCCATTGGCAGGCATTCATTGGGAAGATGATGGGGGCCAGGTCGGTAAATGGTGGTGATGCTGGGGGACTAAGGCCCAGGAGACAGTCGCCCCCATGGTTCTGGATCACCCCACTGGCTGAGGCAGGCACAGTGGTCCTCAGGGCAGAAGGTGCCAGGAGGAATGGAGCAGGATGCTCCACACCCCCACAGAAGACCCCTGGGGCCCTCCAGTTGAGGGGTGCCTGAGTGTGGGCAATGTTCTGAATATGAGGGGGCCCTGCTGGCCTCAGTTGTGGCCCATGTTGTCCAAGGGTGGACAGCCCTGGCACATATAGTTGTCCAGGGTAAGTGGACAGCACCAGAGGGTTAGCCTAGGAGATGGGTGCAGTCACCCATGGTGCCAGGGGCGGCTCCCAGAACGGCTGGTGTGTTGGCACAGGGGCAGCTGACAGAAAGGGCAGGCCCCTGAACGCAGACATGTGGGCACCAGGATTGAAGTTCATGCCTGGTCTCTGGGATGCAGATGCTGTGGAGGCAAAGAAAGGGGAGAATGGAGGAGGGGGAATGGCAGCAGGA